AATGGGTATTTGGTCAAATTCAAGTAACAGATTTGGCTTGTTTAGAGGTTTAATCTCATGCCAGTATCAAGGGGTACTAAGGGGCACTAGGAACAGAGGGCCTTTTTAAAATTTCATTATTATAAATGCAGTTGGTTAATTAATTTAGTTTTATAATATAGAAGTCTGTCAAATAAAGGAACAAAACTTTGTAGTTTATGTATTGCTTTTATTTATTTATTTATTTATTTTGGCATGGGGATTGAACCCAGGGGTGCTGAGTTATATCCCTGACCCTTTTTATTTATTTTTGGGGAGATGAGTCTCATTAAGCTGCCTCAGCTGGCCTCAAACTTGCAATCCCCTGCCTCATCCTCCCCAGGTGCTGAGATTATAGGTGTGCACTACTACATTTGGCTCATCTTTGAGTATAAAATTCAATCTAAATTTTTTCCAAGCCATTATTTTGGTTTTTGCATTTAGTTTTCAATTAAAATTTTTATGTTTTGGGAAATTAAGCTGTTTTTTCATGACACCTATCATTTCCTCTCAGGGAAGCATGCTAGAGTGAAAGAAAAGGAAAGAGAACACGAGCGTCGGAAACGCCATCGAGAAGAACAGGATAAAGCTCGCCGGGAATGGGAGAGACAGAAGCGGAGAGAGCTGGCTCGAGAGCATTCCAGGAGAGAGAGGTGAGGCCTGATCCATTCAGGAGCCTTCATCCAGGGCCATGATGGTCAGGGTCCTGCAGGGGCAAGCGGAACATTCCATACCTGAGCATGATTAGCGTAGAGCAGTATATGGACAGTGGATGCAGCATGACAGATGCTGGGTGGTGGTCGCCTGGAGGAATGTCCTGCAGGAAGTGAGGCAGGTGTGTCTGAATTGACAGAGAAGCTGACCAAAGCCCCAGAACTCTGAGTAGCCTTCCACTCAAGGCTGGCGTGGAAGTCGTCATTAGCCAGTCAGAGTTGTAACTCCCTGAGAGACTTGGTTTGGAGTGATGGCGGCAGGATAAGGAAAACTGCAGGGCAATGCTGGAGGTCACAGGTGGGAATTCAGGCACAAGGAGGTAAGGGTTAGGCCATGTGTGAGTCCCTGGAGGTGAAGAGGGTGGTGCAGTAAGGAGTTGCTCCTGGAGAATGCCCCTTTCACGTCATGACATGAGTCACTTTCCCACAGGGAGGAATATGAGGTCTGTGTGTTTTTAGGGGTAGGTAAAGGTACCTTGATTCAGGTTGTGGTAAAGAGTGGGGTAAAGTGGGGCTGGGGTTGTGGCTCATTGGAAGCGTGCTTGCCTAGCATGTTGAAGGCACTGGGTTTGATACTCATCACCACATAAGAAAATAAATAAACAAAATAAAGATACCTACAACTAAAAAAAAAAAAAGAGTAAAGAGAAAGTCAGGGGCTGGGATTGTGGCTCAGCAGTAGAGCACTCACCTAGCATGTGCAAAACCCTGGGTTCGATCCTCAGCACCACAAGAAAATAAATAAAATAAAGGTGTTGTGTCCAACCACAACTTAAAAAAAAAAAGTCTAAAAAAGAAAGTCAGCTGAGCCCATGTCTATGAACCCTCCCAGGACAGTGCTCCAGAGAAGTCTCGTGGTGACATGGTTTATTTATTCAACAGGTGTTTCCTAAGCACCTGCTCAGTACCAGACTGTTCTGGGTGGTCTGACCTCAGAAAATAGATCACTTAGGGTCCTTTGGGTCACATTAAAAGTAGACTACAAGCCAGACATAATCCCAACAGCTTGGGAGGCTAAGACAGGAGAATTGTGAGTTCAAAGCCAGCCTCAGCAATGGCAAGGCATTAAGCAACTCAGTGAGACCCTGTCTCTAAATAAAATACAAAATAGGGCTGGATATGTGGCTTAGTGGTCAAGTGCCCCTGAGTTCAATCCCTGGGTCCCCGCTCCCCCCCCAAAAAAAAAATAGACTATAATTCTTTCAGACAAATGGGGWCGGGATAATAAAAGCAGATACCAGGGCCTCTGGATAGTCCGGGAGCTGGGAATGTCACATTACTCAGCTGCCACCAGGACAGCTTGGACTCCCAGGAACAGGTGGCTTTAGCCTGGGTCTCTTCTCTGTGGCCCAGTCAAGGTTGAATGCTGGGTCCACTTCCTGTGCATTGAATTCATGTCCAGGAAAAGCTTCAGAGCTGGCCTGCTGCATGGGAGGGTGGTGTCTGAATTGGAAGGCAGAGGTATTGCCCATTCTCATCAGGCAGCACTGAACAGTGAGTAAAGAAAGTGTATGAGAAAAGTGTTAGTTGCCCTTAGTGCAGAGCAAGGTGGGAGACATGTGGCCCAGCAACAGCAGTCGGAGCCCGGTGAGGGTATGCAAGTCTCCAGCAGTGTGTGGGTGTCCGTGCTCATCCCACTGGCTTGTCCAGTGAGGCAGGATTAGAATGGGAGTTGAGTTTGGGGGATGGGCTTTGAGCTTTTGTTTAGATTTACTGGAAGGCAAAGCAGGACAAAGAACAGAGGGCATGTGTTGGCAGATTTCTGGTGTGGAATGAATGTGATCGGCCAGTCTTCTCTTAAAACACACCTTAAGGTGGACAAATTCATTAAAACACTCATTTGTGCTTTGGAAATTAACCAGAAGATAATCTGAAAAGTACACATACTTGGAAAGCTAAGGAACAGTGGTTGAAAACAATAGAAATTGGCCCTCTAACCCAGAAGCTTCTCCCTCCGCTGTCACCTCCCTGACCTTGATCAGTAGAGGTTCTGCTAGGGCAGTACAGCACAGGCCACAGTGTGTGGGGGGATCATTCCATGTACAATGCTGGGTGGCACCCTCTCTACCTGTTTAGATTTACTAGAAGTAGGTGAAACTCACCACCATCTGCTGGTGTGGGGTAGTTCTGGGGATGTACAACATGGGAGTTCATAACCCACTTGAATCAAAATGTGAAATATGATATATCAAGAACTATGTAATGTTTTGAACAACCATCAATAAAAATTATATTTTAAAAAAGGTAGAATTTTCTGCATAATGAAAATATTGAAATTTTAAATAAAACGTTTTATTACTCTTTAAAAAAAAAAAAAGTAGTGCCTTTCTTTAAACTAACTGGTGTTAGCTATAAGAAAACGCCAGTTAGGCCAAAGAATCCAAGTGTTTTGTAAAAGAAGAATCTTATAGGGTCAGATTTTCCTCTATGATATTATTGGAAATGATGTTGCTTTGATTTTACTAGAGGAACACACAAATGATAATGATGATTGGACTCGAGGTTCTTTTTAACCTGGGTTAAAATTCCAATAAGTGAAATTCACTTATTTTAAATTCAGTTCAGATCATTGAAACTGCATGTATGTGCCTATCTACACTCTCTTTAAAAAGATATTTCATACATAGATGATAAAGASCAAACCAATGGCTGCACTGTGGGACTGCTTTTTTTTTTTTTCTCCTGGTGCTGGGGATTGAACCCAGGGCCTTGTGCATGCCAGGCAAGGACTCTACCAACTGAGCTCTATCCTCAGCCCTCGACTGCTTATTTRTTCTTGTTTTGCTTCTATTCATGTTGTAGAAAATGAAATTAGCATGATGCCTCAATCCTGCTATCCTTTGATACTTATAAAAACGTATTAGGTTTTACTACATTGTTCTTTTCAAAGCCATAATTCTTAAATTTGTTTTTGCATATTGTTTGCTAATACTTCATTTTAATGAACCTCAAAATCTGCTTTAAAAAAAAAAAGTAGGGGGCAGGGGATGTGGCTGAAGCGGTAGCGCGCTCGCCTGGCATGCGTGCGGCCCGGGTTCGATCCTCAGCACCACATACCAACAAAGATGTTGTGTCCGCCGAGAACTAAAAAATAAATATTAAAAATTCTCTTTCTCCTCTCTCTCTCTCTCTCTCTCTTTAAAAAAAAAAAAAAAGTAAATCTAGCTCTTCTCAGTGTTGACTTCTCCAAGATGAAAGATCTGTGAAGCAGTAGTTCTGGAGCACTGTGCTGTACCTAACACTGTGCGTGATATCACACAGAACAGGCAGGAAGGGAGGGAGCTATGTCACAACAGTTGCTGTATTTCAGTGGGAATTAGCATTAATCTAATGTGAAGTGTATTGCAGTCCCTAAAGCAACCACTATGAAATTAATGAGGCCTATGCCTAGAATTCCAGTTACTGCAGAGACTGAGACAGGAGGATTACAAGTTTGAGACCACTCCTGGCAATTTAGTGAGAACCTGTCTCAAAAGTTTTAGGAAAGATCTAGAGATACAGTTTAGTGCTTGTCTAGCATGTCCAAGACCCTTGGTGTAATCCCCAGTACAGCAAACTTTACAATTCTGAAACTGACAAGCTTCCTCCAGCCTAGACTTATTACATAGATGGCTATGGGTGCAGGGCTGTGACCTGACCCACCAGTCCATTCGGATTTCGCCAACTTCCACATGATCATTTATCTGTGTGTTTGATGATAGTTAAAAACATTGTATTAGCTATTTGGGTTGCACTTGAACTCTGGGAACACAAAAATTAACTTCAGAACAATTCTAGACATCTGGCCATTTGATGTTCCAGAAACACATTCTCTAGTCACTGATAGTACCTGCATGTCAGGTGATGCCTGACTTGTGTGCAAGCAACTTGCCTCTGTACCCTCCTACCTCATGTTCCAACCCGGACTATCTACTATTTCAGGCAAGGGTAGAAGTGGCCCAGGAGTCCTCTGCCCAGGTCCCTCCCCTTTGCAGCAACTCCTTTGCCTCTTTTGCAGCCAGTGCATATTCACCTTGTGGTTGGATTTGGATAGGGGCAGGAGGGGGGATGATCCTGGGGATTGAACCCAGGGGCACTTTACCAGTAAGTGACATCCCCTACCCTTTTTATTTTGAGACAGGGTCTTGCTAAGTTATGAGGATTTCATTAATTTCTATGAGGCTGGCCTCAAACTTGAAATCCTCCTGCCTCAGCCTCCTGAGTAGCTGGGATTACAGCTATGTGCCACCGTGCCTGGCTGATTGTTGGATTTATATTGGGTATGCTTGGTGAGATGCTTGTTGTTTTAATAGATACTAGCACCAGGATTTTTGATTTCTGACAAGTATTTGTCTTGTTTTGCAAGTACTTAGTTTTGTCCTGGTATGTTCCCTCAGAAATGGCACTTGGGAATGTGTGCACTTATGTCTTTAACTCTTTAGCCCTCTGTGCAGTGAGAGTGCACAGAGATGGGTTCTCGGTTCAGCTGGACTAAAGGCCTGGTGCCTCCTTCCTCAGGGACCGCCTGGAGCAGTTAGAGAGGAAGAGGGAGCGGGAGCGCAAGCTGAGGGAGCAGCAGAAGGAGCAGCGGGAGCAGAAGGAGCGGGAGCGGAGGGCCGAGGAGCGGCGCAAGGAGCGAGAGGCCCGAAGGGAAGGTAGGCCGAGACTGCCCCTGCTCCACAGGCCTCCTGGGCTGCTCCCCAGTGGGTGATCAGCAGTGCCACGGGTTAGGGCAGACTCTGCAGACGTGACCCTGCCCTGGACTGTGCCCCAGGGGTTGGCCGTGGTCTGGGTGAGAGGCAGGACTGGGCTGAAGGGAAAGCAGGCTGGACATCATGAGGCCCAGGGGCACTACAGTCAAGGCTCTAGAGCCGATGCGCTGCTGTCCAGTGCCCACTGCTGGCTGTGTTTAGGTTCTTGGCTCCTGTGCTTTCTTTGCCCCTGTTTTTCTAGTTTTACACGTCAAAATCCATGTTTACCATCGTGACCTCTTTACAGGATGTTTACATGGCTTCCCCTCCACCACCCATGCCAGAACCCTTTCCTCTGGGAAGACTGAGGGATGCCCGTTACATACCAGGTTCCTCTGTTCTGCTCTGCGGGGAGCCCCAGGGCTTTGTGGCTCAGCTGACTGTGGCTCACAGCCGCATCCTCAGCGTCCATGCCCGGTTCCCTTGTGCCAGAATTTACTCCCTTGAAGATCAGCTGGTGGCAGCAGCTAACCTGTGTCCTTTTCCTATTTGCTTTCTCTGGGCTTTGTTGCCTTTTTGTCCCTTATTTCCTGCACTACTTGGTCTTTGGTGTTTTGTTGAATTTGTAGTGAAATGTTTAAGTTCCTCTCTCATTCCCTTTCCTGTATACTCATATCTATTTTTATTATTACACCAAGGGGATTATATTTAGCCTCCTAAAGTGGTACACCAATTTGAATTGATTCCATCTTCAATTCAGAAATATGCAAAACCCTTGTTCTCTTAAATCTTCATCCCCACCTGTTTTAGTTGTTGTTGTCACAAAATTGCATTTTTGTATATTGGCTGTCCGTAAATATAAACTAGTAACTTTTATCCAGGCATGATAGCTTATGAATGTAATCTCAGTAACTTTTATCCAGGCATGATAGCTTATGAATGTAATCTCAGTAACTTTGGAAGCTGAATGAAGCAGGAGGATTGAAAGTTCAAGGTCAGCCTCAGCAGTTTAGGGAGACCTTGTTTCAAAATAATAATTTTAATAAGGGCTGGGAGCTGGGTGTGGTGGCTGAGGCAGGAGGATCATGAGTTTAAAGCCAGACTCAGCAAAAGCCAGGCACTAAGCAACTCTCTGAGACCCTGTCTCTGAATAAAATACAAAATAGGGCTGGGGACGCGGCTCAGTGGGCTCAGTGGTCGAGTGTCCCTGAGTTCAATCCCTTGTCACCAACCCCCACCCCCACCCCCCCGCCAGTGTCTCATGCCTGCTAGGCAAGTGCTCTGCCTCTGAGCTACAGCCTCAGCCCCATCATTGAGTTTTTCCTGCAGGACAGTCAAGTGATGTGGACTCCTGTGGCTCTTGTGTGTCCAGTTCGTCTCTCCCTCTCTTCTTAGGAATTATTTTGAACACAACCAGTGTAGCATTTTTGGCGGTAGTTTTTTTTTTTTTTTTTTTTTTTTCTTACACCACTTAGACACTCATCAGCCTGACACCTTGTGGTTCATTTGCTGGTGTCATACATCTAAGGACCTCCTGTGTGTCACCACTCACTTCTCTTCTTTCATGATTCTGCTTTGTCTTATGTGATTTTTCTTGTTTTTTGTTTTGTTTTGTTTTTCTTGTTTCTTTTTTGGCAGTGCTAGGAATGGAACTCAGTACCTTGTACATGCCAGGCGAGTCCTCTACTCCCAAGCTGTACCCCCTTGCGTGGGTTTCTTTTCTCTTTCTCTTTCCTTTTTTTTTTGAGATAGTGTCTTGCTAAGTTGATGAGGCTGTCCTCAGACTTGGGACCCTCCCACCTCAGCCTCCCAAGTCACTGGGATTACGGGGGTGGCCACCACACCTGACATCCGTGGGCCTCCGAGTTGGTCCTTCTGGGAGCTTGTTGTGCTTCCTGAAGGTTAACGTGTGTCTTTGGAAACACGTGGGGTATTCTCGGCGATGCTTCTTCAGTCCTGGCTCTGCTCCTTTCTCCCCGCTCCCTGGCTCCTCGGTTGTAGGCTGGTCCTTCTGCCATGCAGTTTTCTTCCACTGTTGTTYTTTCTGTCCCTCAGACTGGGTCTCCCCTGCCCTGACCTCAGCATCACTGCTTTCTGTCTTGCCTGCTCAGCTCTGCTTTGAACCCCTCTCGTGGTTGTTCCTTTATTGAGATGTCGACCTCTAGAGTAGTTGAGTTTTTTTAGGGTTTCTCCCTCCTTTTTTATTTTTTATTTTATTATTTTTTTTAAGATTGACTTTTTTTTTTTTTTTTTTTTTTGGTAGTTAGATGGACAGAATGCCTTGTTTTCTTTGCTTATTTTCATGTGGTACTGATTGAACCCAGAGCCTCACGCATGCTAGGCAAGTGCTGTACCTCTGAGCCCCAGCCCCAGCCCAGGATTCCTCTCTCTTGACTCGTATTGCCATATTGGTGCATTGATTTATTGTAATTCTTTTTTTTTTTTTTTTCAGTTGTTGATGGACCATTATTTTATTTATTCATTTATATGGTGCTGAGAATTGAACCCAGGGCCTCACCCGTACTAGGCCAGTGCTCCACCCCTGAGCCCCAGCCTAGCCCTTACAGTTGTCCCAGAGTCTTACTTTTGCTTCTTTGTACAAAGGTGATTTTGTGTGTGGGGGGGTGCTGGGGATTGAACGCAGGATCGTGTACATGTAAGACGAGCACTCTACCAACTGAGCCATATCCCCAGCCCCAAAGGCAATTTCTTAACAATGATTTGAAGAGCCCTGTTCACAGATGGTGCTGTTGGAAGGGTCAACAACCTACTCATGCTGTGTTCRCACCCAAATGGGCAAGGCCTCCAAGGGCTGATTGAGCCCCAGGACCAGTGGTTGTTGTCCTGTTCCTCCTGGGCCTAGTGCACAGGGAGCTCTGTCCTGCCCCGTCACCTTTGGGCCACACCTGGGCAGCCAGCAGGGCCACACATGGTGAAAGCTTGCCCCTCCCCAGTCCCAGGGCAGGTGGTTTCCTTGCCGGGGGCTCAGGCATGTGGGCTAGGGTGTCATGGAAGGGCTAGGGTGTCATGGAAGGGCCTGGATGCAGATGCCAGTGTGTTCTCTGCTGAGGGCTCAGGCCTACTCTTGCCACCTCCTTTTACCTTGAGACTTCTCTTACTTACTTCCTAACACTGGGGTTGAACTGGGGCCTCACGTGTGCTAGGCAGCACTCTGCCCTTGGGTGGCACCCAGCCTCCTCCAGGCGCTGCCGCACGTTGTCCTCAGGCAGTGTGCCTTCAGGTCTCCAGGATGGCTTCCCTCGGTTTTTTTTTTTCCCTGTTTCTTGGAATGTCTTATGATTTTGTTGTTGTTGTTGGAAACTGGACATTTGTTATAGTTCTGGAAACGAGACCCTCCCAGGACTGCCACTTTGCTGTGGAGTGTGTTGGTACTCTCAGTGCTGAGGATTGGCCTGGCACACCTTCCAGCATCCTGTCTGAGCCTGTGCCTGTCTCGGGGCCTACAGGGGCACTCCAGTTTTCTTCCTATGTGCAGTTGCTTTAATGTCCTTGTCCTTAAATGTCTGGCTTCCAAAAAGGGATTTAAAAAAAAAAAAAAAGTGGGGATAAGGGCTCCCAGCGGTGAACCCTCTGGAGGTCACCCTAGCCAGGGGAGGATGCAGCATCAACAGCTGCAGCCTTGTTCCTGTGGTGAGATGCAGCAGGGGTGCAGTCTCTGGTGTTGGAAGGCAGGATTCTCTCACCCATCCTCCTCCTGCAACTGCTCTGGAAACTCATGCGCAACTCCTTGCCCCGGAGACCAGAGCCAGAAGCTGCTGCTTTGCTAAGAGCTGAAATTGACCAGAATTAACCATGGTTTGCTGTCAAAGCCTCCCTGAAATTTGCATACCTTCTCTATAGAGTTTCACATTAATTGCATAAGACGGATTCTGTCCTATGTCTTCCTATGTGGMCCCTGGGTTATCAGGATTTTCCTGTGGCCTTCAGGTTGGAGCTTTTTCTCCCCRGTTTATTGGCTTTTGGCTCCAATGCTGTTGGGTGTGTCTGTCCAGGTGTGTGGAGTGGGACGCGGGGGGGCTGTGTATTGTCAGCCAGGCTGCTGCCAGCACCCATTCTCCCTCTGTCCTATGGGCCCCAGTCTCTGCACACCATCGCACAGTGCGGGAAGACCACAGCGACAAGGGGAAGGCCAGCCACTGGAGCCGCAGCCCGTCACGGCCACCGAGGGAACGCTTCGAGCTTGGAGACGGCAGGAAGCCAGGTGAGCCCAGGCTCATACTTGCTTAGAGCCAGCACAGGGTGTCTTTTTTTTCAGGGGGGGGGTGTTGAACATAAAAATTTGCTTAACAATTTATAAAATTAAGGAACACCCAGCTGCATGATTTCCTGTCACAGTGCCCTGTGTCTCAAGGGGACTGGATCAGGGACTCATTTCTCAACTGAGACAGTCATTTGTTGCCAGTCCTTTTGGGAATTGTCTCCCAGTTAAAAACACGTGGGTGAACTTTTACACGTAGAGGGAAGGTGTGAGAAATAACGTCTGAATTTTGGGTGGTACTATGTTGCTAACCTAAAAACATTTCCCTAAATTCATCTTTGCTGGTTTAATTCACAAGTGAAAGAAGAGAAAATGGAAGAAAGAGACCTGCTGTCTGACCTCCAGGACATCAGTGACAGCGAGAGGAAAACGAGCTCAGCTGAGTCCTCGTCAGGTACTGAGCCTCCTGGCCAAGGCCCTGCAGCTGCTGCCCAGGGAAGGCCAAGGGTCACCTTGTGGCTATTTTCTCCTGCAGCAGAATCAGGTTCAGGCTCAGAGGAGGAGGAAGAAGAGGAAGAAGAGGAAGAGGAGGAGGAAGGGAGCACCAGTGAGGAGTCAGAGGAGGAGGAGGAGGAGGAAGAGGAGGAGGAGGAAGAGGAGACTGGGAGCAACTCTGAGGAGGCATCCGAGCAGTCTGCAGGTGAGGAACTGGTGGGTCTCTATGGTCTTTGTTGACGGAACAGCATTGTGTGTTCACGGGAGGGTTTGGGATTGCAGGAACATCCTTCGAAGTCTGACTTAGCATTTCCAGGGTGGAGCTGCCTTCCTCTGTGGGACTTGAGTGAGAGCCCAGAAGAGCCCGCAGCTCACACAGCTCAGAGCTGTCAGGGCCAGGCTTCTGGGGRTTCCCAGGCCAGCACTCAATCAGCGCTCTTTTCTCCTACAGAGGAAGTGAGCGATGAAGARATGAGTGACGAGGAAGAGCGAGGAGAGGAGAACCACGTCCTGGTTGGTGAGCAGCTCCCTTAGCAGCTGGCCCTGTCCTCACCTGTCCCTGCAGGGAGGACACCGGGATACAGCAGTGGCCCTCTGAGTCTGTGCTGATGTAACTTAGCCAAGAGCATCTTTAATTGCGCAGCATCCTCTAAGTGCCCGCTGTGACTTGGATGCTGGATGGAGAAGGCTGGGGAGTGCCACTCTAGGTCTAATCCTAAGAGGGAAGGAAGCTGCATTGGACAGCAGGTCCTGGGTCATCAGGGGTGGACACTCTCTTGAGAGTGGAGGGCTGGTATGGCCTCCAGCAGGCAGCAGCGCTCTCGTGAGGGCCTGGGGCATGAATTCTGGGCATGTCCACCCTGCGTGGCWCCTGCTCATGTCCTCAGAACTCAGCATCGGGCTCAGCCAAGTGTACTGGGACTGCAGACCTTTGGGCCTTTGTCCAGGGAACAGGCCCTGCAGCAGCACCTGGTGTGGAGGAGATAGGATGTGTGGCCTCTCCAGCCYTCGGGTTCCCCCAGATTAGGAGGAGTGTTGGTGCTCTTTACTTGTTCCATAATTAGGTTTAACTTTTAAAGTTCCAGAGTCACGATTTGACCGAGATTCCGGGGATAGTGAAGAAGGGGAGGAAGAAGTGGGTGAGGGGACCCCACAGAGCAGCGCCCCAACGGAAGGGGACTACGTGCCTGACTCCCCAGCTCTATCGCCTATTGAGCTCAAGCAGGAGTTGCCCAAGTACCTGCCAGCCCTACAGGTCAGGCCCCCTGCCCCCTCGCCTGAGCTGGCTCCCTGCTATGGTGGCCAGAGATACAGGTGTCTGAGCAGAAGTGTCCCTGTGAAGCAAGGTCACTGGGCTACACATGGTGACCCACCTCCTGTGACTCCTGGTCATGGTCCTTCTTCGTGGCCGGCAGTACTGAGCAGGTGTCCTGGGTGCCAGGAGATGCTTGCTTTCATTTTTGCCTTGGCTTTGACCCTGGATAGGTGGGTTGGGAGGGGCACCAAGGGCTCCTCAACACCCGCCCATGCTGAGAGTGTGTCAGCACAGGTACGCAAGGTGGTGACTTCTCTGCAGGGAAACAGCAGCTAGTGAGGCTGCTTGGGGAAGAGGAGAGGGCCCTGGAGCACCACCACAGGCCCCTGACGTTAGTGCCATCGTAGGAAAGATACTGTCTGACAGATCCAGCAGGCCTGTTGCTGGCCCTGGTCCTTCCTCCAGTGGGAGCCTGCTATGTGCTGCAGAACGTGGCCCCCACCCCTTGGAGGAGGGCACAGCACATGGCAGGCCAGCTGTGCTCTCCCCAGGTGTCATCTGCTGGAAGGGTGCTTTATGTAGGAGGCGCCCGGTGGCCCTGGCTCGTGCGGCCCTTGTTTCACATTCACATACTAGGTAGTTCCAAAGAAAAGAGAACAGAGYACTTCTGGTCCTGGGTCACTTACACATAGGCACACATCTACATGCACCAGCCTCCTGAGGATGTTTGTGGGGTCTTCTGTGTACCTGCCCTGTGCACGGAGTGATGCGAGTGTGGACRAGACCTCAGGCCAGTGTGGCTGCTCAGCCCTCACTCTGTGCTTCCCCCCAGGGCTGCCGGAGTGTGGAAGAGTTCCAGTGTCTCAACAGGATTGAAGAAGGTACCTATGGTGTGGTCTACAGAGCCAAGGACAAGAAAACAGGTGGGGAGAGTCCTACGTGTCCCCAGTGGGGCCAGCAGGGCCTGGGTAGCCAGTCCCTAGCCCATTCTAGCACAGGCAGGGGTCCCTCCTGAGGAGGTCCAGTCAGTGGTGCAGGCTCAGCCTTAGAAGTCCTGGTGACAGACACCACTTTCCATGGAGGCCGTCTCTGGGAGGGATGGGTGTTGAGTGGCCTGCATCAGCAGAGGCCTAGGCAACTGGTTCTGTACCCTCTGGCCTCGACCGTGTCCACATAGCTTCAGCCCATGTTTKCTGAATGTGGGTTCATCTCTGCATGGCCCCAGGATCTTTGGATTAGATCTTACCCTCTCCCTGTCCCTGTCCCTGTGCCTTGCAAACACCAGGTCTTATCTTGAGCCCCTTGGTGCCTCTAGAAACCAGAGGTCAGCCTGACTTGGCTCACTGCTGGCTGTGACAGCAGGCAGCACACTCTTATTTATTTTGCAGTCCTAGATATTTACTTCAGGTCATCTTGCATGCTAGGCAATTGCTGCACCACCAAATTACATCCCCAGTCCTCTTTATTTTATTTATTTATTTTAATATTTCTATTAGTTGTTGATGGACCTTTATTTATTTATATGTGGTGCTGAGAATCAAACCCAGTGCCTCACACATGCTAGGCAAGCGCTCTACCACTGAGCCACAACCTCAGCCCCTTATTTTATTTTTTAAATATATATATTTAGCTGTAGAGGAACAGGATACTTTTATTTATTTGTTTGTTTGTTTGTTTATTTATTTATTTATTTATTTATATGTGGTGCTGAGGATCAAACCCAGTGCCTCACATGGGAGACAAGCTCTTTACCCCAGAGCCACAACCCCAGCCCCTCCTTTTTATATTTTGAGATGGAGTCTTGCTAAGTTGCTGAGGCTGGCCTTGAACTTGAACCTGAGATCCTCAGATCCTCCTGCCCCAGCCTTCCAAGTAGCTGGGATCACAGCCGGAACAGGAGCACCTACTATGAAATAAATGCTTCTTAAACAAATTAAGTCCTGACTAAACACACCAGAGATGTTTAACCTATTTGTGTGTTTTCTTAGCCTGTCTATCCGTGGCTTTCTTTTCAGATGAAATTGTGGCTCTGAAGCGGTTGAAGATGGARAAGGAGAAGGAGGGCTTCCCAATCACATCTCTGAGGGAGATCAACACCATCCTCAAAGCCCAGCACCCCAACATYGTCACTGTTAGGGTGAGCTTGGCCCCCATCCTGGGCACACCCTCTCTGGGCAGGAGGCCTGGGAGAGCCAGTGGCCACAAGGGTGGGCTGAAGGACATGCCAGTACTCACAGACACTCGTCCCCCAGGAGATCGTGGTGGGCAGCAACATGGACAAGATCTATATTGTCATGAACTATGTGGAGCATGACCTCAAGAGCCTCATGGAGACCATGAAGCAGCCGTTCCTGCCAGGTAACACCTGCCAGGTGACACCATGGGCACAGAGGAGGGCGCCTGCTTGCTCAGCCCTGAGCTGCAGTGCAGACACGCTACCCTCTGCCACATCACAGGGGCTGTCAGAGCAAAGGCAGGAGCAGTGTCCTTATAGTGACCGTGGTGACACTCTGTGGTGTGCAGTGACCAGTAGGCACAAGGGCCACCCTGGGCTGGAAGMATTCTCAGATAACCACCTCCTAGAAGTCTCTGGTTGCTACTGAGAGTATAGATACCCCTTGAGGGCCCTGGGCCTCTGGGGGGCTCACTGTGGGTTGGCCGTGCGTGTGACCCTGTCACTTGCCAGGGGAGGTAAAGACCCTGATGATCCAGCTGCTACGTGGAGTGAAGCATTTGCATGACAACTGGATCCTGCACCGGGACCTCAAGACGTCCAACCTGTTGCTGAGCCACGCCGGCATCCTCAAGGTGGGCCCCGCCRGCCTCTCCCAGGGGTCCTGTCCCCGCCACGCTTCACAGCTTGCCCTCTGTTTCTTCAGGTGGGTGACTTTGGGCTGGCTCGGGAGTATGGGTCGCCCCTGAAAGCCTACACCCCGGTCGTGGTGACCCTGTGGTACCGGGCCCCAGAGCTGCTGCTTGGTGCCAAGGTGAGTATCAGGTCTGAGACCCTCCTTTGCCTCAAGGTGGACTCCAGGGACACTGGCCCAGGGGCCTGAACCGTGTCCTCTGGACTCCTAGGAATACTCCACAGCTGTCGACATGTGGTCAGTGGGCTGCATCTTCGGAGAGTTGCTAACACAGAAGCCCCTGTTCCCTGGGAAGTCGGAAATTGATCAGATCAACAAGGTGTTTAAGGTGGGTATGGGGACCACGCCCTGCTGTGGATGTTGGCCCCGCTGGTCAACTGGCACCGTGAGGAGCAGCAGCAGGGTGTGTGCAGGATGGGTTTGGGCCGCAGTCCCGAGGCCACAGTGTGGCCTCTCAATGACCTGTCCTCACTGAGAACCATGACTCAGGTATCAGTGCCATAGGCCAGTGGGCAGGATGTTTCCTGGCAGGGCAGGGCAGGGCAGGGCAGGACAGGGCAGGGCAGGGCAGTTCAGCTCAGGCATCCCTGTCTTCCAGGACCTGGGGACACCTAGTGAGAAGATCTGGCCTGGCTACAATGACCTCCCGGCTGTCAAGAAGATGACCTTCAGTGAACATCCCTACAACAACCTTCGCAAGCGCTTTGGGGCCTTGCTCTCAGACCAGGGCTTCGACCTCATGAACAAGTGAGTCCCAGAGATGACTGGTCTGCAGCTGCAGGAGCACCAGCCCTGAGCTGCTTACACCCTTCCACAGCTGCCCTAGTGACTCACACCCTGATCCTGCACACCTTAGGCCTTCAGAGTACACTGGAGGCTCTGAGGTGGCAGGTACCCCCTTGGCTTCCCACCCCTGCCTGCCCACAGCACCCACCTGGTCAACACAGCTGGGCTCTGGGCCCTGAGGCAACCATGCACACCGCATCCCCTCCCACATGGTGCCCAGTGCCCCAAAGCTGTTTCTTCCAGGTTCTTGACCTACTTTCCCGGGAGGAGGATCAATGCTGAAGATGGCCTCAAGCACGAATATTTCCGCGAGACYCCTCTCCCCATTGACCCCTCGATGTTCCCCACATGGCCTGCCAAGAGCGAGCAGCAGAGGGTGAAGCGGGGCACGAGCCCCCGGCCCCCTGAGGGTGGCCTGGGCTACAGCCAGCTGGTGAGGGGCAAAGCCCACAGGGTCCCCAGAGGGGTGGGCTGTCTGGGTCACAGCCCTCACAGTATCCACTTCACTTTGCAGGGGGACGATGACCTGAAGGAGACGGGCTTCCACCTCACCACCACCAACCAGGGGGCTTCGGCTGCAGGCCCTGGCTTCAGCCTCAAGTTCTGAAGCTCTGCAGCCTGGCTGGTGGTAAGGACCCAGACCTCAGCCAGGGCTGACCCCAGGCTGGGAGCACCTCCTCTCACTTGGCTTCCACGTGGTGATTTTTATATTATTTTCATTTGTACATTTGTAGAATTAAATTGCATTTTCCTTGCTGTGGAAGGAAAGGCTGACTGCTTTCAGCTGTGTTGACGTGCCCAGTGGGGWAGGGCGTATGTCTACAGATGCCAGTGTGAATGGACACCCCTCCCCATGAGCCAGCTTGGACTGGAGCAGCTGGGGGTTCACTGCTTGTCCATCTTGGGGCTGGAGGCCTGTCTGCGTAGACAAGCAAGGCTTTCAGACTAGCCCTGTCCACAGGTTTAGGTCCCGTCCTCAGCCCTGGGCTTGGGGCAGCCTCAGCCACAGCGTGCTGCATGCACCTGCCTTCCTGTTGAGATGCAGCAGCTAGGCTTGAGGGAAGCTCTGGGATGGCCTTGCAGCCAGCTGGCCCCAAACTGCATCCCCTGGGTGCACCCAGGAGGAGGGCTTCTGGCTACCTGGGCTTGGGGATGACTGGATCAAAAGGGACCCCATGTGGGCTGGTCCTTCCTGTTGGGTTGGCCTCCTGCTCCTGATCTAATCAAGGAGTGTCAGCCTTGTGCAGCAGCAGATGCCCACCACTTCCCTTGGGCTTGTACCASCCCCCAAACTGGTCCTCAGCACCCACCCCAGGTGATATTGTGGGCACTTGGGCCTTAGTTTGCCCCACTGTGTTCCTGAGGCTATCTTGGCAAGGCTGTTCTCACCTTGAAGGTCATATCCTTATTCTTAGAGTCTGTGCCCCTCAGAATCCCCACATCCCAGTGATAGGCCAGATGGGGGCCACCCACCCAAGAAATGGCACAGACACATCAAACACAGAGCTTTATCTGTCAGGCCTCTGTGGCCCAGGAGACGAGCTTAGCTCCTCACTCGGACACGCCAGGAGTAGGTGGTGAGCACATGCTGGTGCCGGCGGACCACACACGTGTACGTGCCCTCGTTGACAGCGTTGGCGATGATGCTCAGGCGAGCCTCACCCAGGGCCAGGTAACCAGGGTAGGAGAATTCGAGGGGCTCCTGGTCCTTGTACCAGCTGTGGGAAGAGGGTCCTGCATGCCTGCCCTCTGCCCCTGAAGGCAGCCTGAGCCCCCAGGACATCCCCCCTCACCCTGTAGGACCCTGAGCAGCTCCACCCCCTACAACTTGGACCCTAGACAGATTCCCCCCCAGGATGGGCCTGGCTAGCAGTGGTCACTTACTACACTTTGCCTTTCTTGTGGAGGATCTTCTGACCACATCGGAAGGTCACATTTCTGCCCTCTGGCACCAGCCTGGTTTTGGTCCTGGGGGGTGATGGGGTGGTGGCCACTGTGGGGAAGGGAAACTCTGCACGTGGCAGGGGAAGGTGTCACATCAGTGTGCCCCTCCCCAGACTAGGGCCACAACTGGAAGACCCAGGCATGTGACCCTGCCCCAGCCCCTGCCCCAGCCGTCACCATAGCAGAAGTCACAGCTGCTGGGGCACAGCCTCTTCATGAGCCTCCTGCGGGTGTCACAAAAGCCCTTCCGTGCCCAGGACGCACACACAAACAGCCGGTCCAGGCAGCCTGAGGGAAGGGCAGCCTGGCTCAGGGCCCACCTCAAGCCTGCCCACCCCTCACACCACCTTCTCCAAGACACCCACCGTAGAGCCGGTGCAGCCCCCACAGCTCATCCTGAGACAGTGCCTTCCAGCCACGCAGCGTGGCGTTGAGGTGCATGAGTGCCCGGCTGTGCTGGGAGTGCATCAGGCCCAGTGCATGGCCGATCTCGTGGGCTGCCACGTGCACCAGGTCTGTGAGCCACACACCTGCTGACCCTGTGAGTTAGCTCCCTGGAGCCCCAGCCTGGCCCTGCAGCCCTCAGGCCTGACCCCCAAGCCCAGCACATCTGCTGGAGTGCGGTGTGGAGCCACCCTTGGCCACAGCCAAGGGAAGATAAGAATGTTCTGCCTGGGCGGTGAGCTCGGTCCCCAGGAATGCAGCCCCAGCTCCCCTCCAGCAGCTTGGGGGAGGCAGTCTCAGGGCTGCTGGAACCAGCAGCAGCCCCACMACCTCCCTTCCCTGGCCTGCTTAACCCCAAAGAACAGGACCCTCCACACCCTAGGAACCCCTGCTCTGCCCCCAAGCCCTCTCCACACAGCCACCCTGGTGCAGACAGTGCACCCATGGGAGGCGGGGCACCTTTCTTCCAGCTGTAGCGTGTGGGGCCCAGGACCCAGTGCTCGCTGTCGTCAAAGTGGATGCCACCGTGCGGTGGGAAGAAGGCGTGGGCCAGCTCGCCCGTGGGACCGTCAAAGCAGTGGTGCAGAGCAGAGACCAGGCAGTCCGTGTGGTTGGCTGGGTAGAAGCCTGTGGAGAGGGGAGGGCTGAGATAGAGCCCACTGGGCTGGGCAGGGGCAGGGGCACAGAGCGCCTACCTATCCGCAGGTCGCTGGGCTGCTCAGGGGCCACCTCACGGAAACTGAAGGGGGAAACGTCGCTCCACATCCGGAAAGCAGCAGCCAGGCCCCGGCGAGTCTCACGGGGGCTCAGCAGATTCCGAGGGAAGGAGAGGATCCTGGGATGAGGGCCAAGGTCAGGGACAGGGGCTAGGCTGTGGCCGAGCCCCCACCCTAGGGCCAGGTCGCACCTGTAGGTGAGGTTGAAGTGGTCCCAGCGCAGCCTGGCCGGGGTCAACGTGTAGCGGCGTTTTCGGGGCACCAGCGGGGAAAATGGGCTGGGGACCTGGGCTGTAGGGACCCCTGGTGCATCCAGCGAATAGGCCTCTCTCTTCACGGGAAGAAAGTGGGCATGGGGAAGTCGTAGGGACGGTCCCCACACCCCAGAGTTGGTACGGAAAAGGGACTGTGGGAAGGGGGGGTGGAAGAGCAATGGGGTGAGGGAGGGTTTGGCCAGCCCCCCCTCCTTTTAAGTTTTCTGCCTGAGCGAGAGAAAAAGGTTACCGAGAGCCGGTGGGAGTGGGCGGAGCCGGAGACAGATGCAGCCTCCCACCTCCGGTCACGCTCAGACCCAGGGACTCACATCCGCATCCACAGACCCCCGCCCCAGGGGGCCCTGCCGGGCCGCAGAGCGGACCGACTCGCGCACCTGCCTTCCACCCAGCTCACCTGCCCTGCGCTCCAGGCCTGCGCCGCAGGGGCCCCGAGCCGGGCCAGCAGCAGGAGCGCGGGGAGCAGGCACAGCCCGCCCAGCACGGCCCCGAGCCGGCGGTCCTGGACGGCCCCTGACACCTTCGGGGGGACGCAGGCCCCGCGGCCCATGGCAGACTCGCTGTCGGGCTCGGGGCCGCTGGGGCAGCGCGGCGCGGGGACCTGGGCCATGGAGCCGCCGAGGAGCGGGGAGGGGAGGCGACGGCGGGCGGCTCGGGTTACAGCCCAGTGGGGGGGTGGGGGGGCGCGGCGCCCATGAGGGAAACCAGCTGGCCTGTCGGGGAGCGTCAACGGGCTCCCCCGGGGGCTTCCGGGACTCGGGACCTGTGGCCGGGGGCGGTGGCCCAGACACGGCCTGCTGGGTGGGGTCGCTTGGAGTGGGATAGGCCCTGGGGCTCGCGCTTAAAGTGGCGTCAGTTGGGGGCTCCCATGCCGGTGGTGAGACTTCAGGACGGGTTGGCTTTTCCCCCAAGTGGAATTCCACCCCAACCCCGTGAACCCCCAGTGAGACCCGGGAGCGAAGCGCATCGTGACCCTGTAGCCAGCTCAAAAAGCGTCCCCGCGAGAGGGGAGGGGACGCAGAGCGAGGGGACGTGGCAGTGAGTATTGGGCGGCTGAAGGRGCAGGCGGCGAGGGCCCGCAGAGGGCAAGGCGTAGGGAGCTTMGAGGGTCCCGCGAAAAGCCGGGAAGGGGCTGGCGGAGGGGCGGGCCTTGGGCCCGGAGGGACCCCCGAGGAGGCTGGCTGAGGTGGGGAGGGTGCAGGGCCGGGRATCCCCCGCCAGGCCGCGGGGAGGGGGTTCTTGGAGCCAGGAAGACGCGAAGCAAGGCCAGACGCCGGGGCGTGGAGGTCTGGAACGGCCCTGGCTGGGGGCGGGGAGCGGTGCTCAGCCTGGAAGGCTCGACGGGGCGGCCAAAGGCAATGCTGGCGGGAAGGCGGGATCCTGGGGGACGCCGGGGCAGCTGGGGGTAAGGGGCTGGGAGTTGGGGGTGAGATCGAGGAGCTGTCTGCTCCGGGCCAGATATGGTCAACGTCCTGTCCCTCCCCATCCTCCATGCCGGCTTCGAGCCCAGGGTGACAGCGGCGTTCTGGCCAGCCGGGACAGCGCCAAACAGCTGGCGGGCTGCCGGGCTGAGCAGTGCGGGTGGTTCTTGGAAAGCGCTGGATGCAGGACTCCCCTCTTCGTGGCTAAATATCTGCTCCAACAAACCGGCCTCCCTCTGCATGCGCCCTGCCTCTTCCACAGGACCATGTTCCCTTCGTCCCTGCTCAACTTCCCGAGACCATCAACGGGAGCCCGGCCCGAGACTCCGMACCCACCCAGGAGGCCCGGGACACGGAAAGCTCCTGGCGGGGGGGTGGGGGTCGAGGTGGGCCTTGGCCTTCCATGGTAGGAAGGGCCACCCCGTTTGGCAGAAGGACAGCGCGTGGCCTGGGTCAGTGTCGTGCCGCGCCGGTGGTGTTTCTGCCACGGGGCAGAGTCGACCCAGGAGAAGCAGCAGGGCAAGGTGGGCGGCGAGGGCCACCCCAGGCTCACCCGCCCRTGCCGCCCAGGACCCCACGGCCCGCCCAGTGCCCCAGGCAAGCAGGCAGCAGGCGGCAAAGTCCGAGAATCTTTTTATAAAACACAGGGGTGCGAGGCAGCTCCAGAGGGCCGCGCGTTCACACGAAAATCTGGATGCGGTCGCGGATGGGCTGGCGGCAGATGGGACAGGCGCTGAGCGCGGCGCCGCAGGGTGCGCACGCGCCGTGGCCACACTGGAACACGAGGCGGATGTGGCTGTCGATGCAGATCGGGCAGGTGATGCGCTCCTCCATCTGCCGGTAGCGGCTCTGAAGCTCCTCCACCAGCTGCCGCGGCGGACCAGGCGCCGGGGTAGCACTTGCCACCTCGGAGCCATCTGCGGGGGACCGGGTGGGGAGGAGTCAGCCGCAGGCGGGTAAATCGGGGTGGGTGGGCGGGCGGGCGGGCGCGCGCGCCAGGGCCCCACCCACCTACCTGGACGCAGCTTCTTGTTGATGACCACCTGGCACCTGATGCACTTCTTCATCCGGCGCGCGCACTCTGCAGAGAGCAGCGCGGTTGGGCGGGGCGAGGCGGGGCGGCCCGAGACTCCCTGGCCCTCGGCGGCCCCGACTCACCTTCGCACACAGTGCGGTGCTGGCACGGCGAGAACAGAACTAGCAGCGCCAGCTCCGAGCACACCAGACACTCAGCAGCCTCGGGCCCCGCAGTGGCAGCCACGTGCAGGTTCGTCACCGTGTTGGGAGTGCTGAGCACGTGCCTGGGGCCCAGGACCGCGCTCCCCCCGCCGCCGCCGCCGCCGCCGCCGCCGCCGGCCTGTCGCTCCCTGCAGTTGGAGGAGGGGGCTTGTAAAGGCCCCTGGCTGTGGAGGGCTCCCCCCTGGTGGTGCGGCCTACCGGAAGCGCTGGGCACAGCCCTGCAGAGCTTTGAGCACACGGCTTTCTGTGGCCAGGTCCAGAGGGCTTCGGCCACGATGGTTGGAATAGGTCACATCAGCACCCTCCAGTGCCAGAAAGCATGCCACCGCAGCACCCACCGTCAGCTCCGAGCTGCCTGGGAGGCCTGAGGCCTGTAGCTGGGCAGCAGGACAGATGCTGTTGAGGATGGGCACTGACGCAGGCCTGAGGGAAGCCTCTGGGGCGCCAGGCAGCCCGTGCAAGGGGCACCCCTATCCTCGGGGGGAAAGCCAAGGGTACCCCCGTYCTGTATGAAGCTGTTAGCTCCAGGAACAGTGCAGAGGCCAGGCAAGAGAGGTGCCCTTGCTAGGCAACCTAAGGAACGAGTTCTAAGATGCCACCCCGGCTACCACACCATCCCCTCCCCAGGATGGCCAGGGGTGCATAGAATGGCTCCTCTAAATCATGCCCCCACCCTAAGTTGCCCCYTTCCCCAGAGCCCGACTCCCTGGCCCGTCACCAGAGATGGAAGGTGGGCCCACCTCTCCAGCACCCACTCCTCACTTCCTCACCCTGGACAGCAGCTGCAAGGGCCCTGGGTCCCCCCCAGCCCTGTCAGCCACCAGGGGGAGCAGCTGATGGCGCTGCAGCGCCACATGCAGGGCCGTGTCCCCCTCCTCATCCTCGGTGTCAACACTGCAACCAGCATCCACCAGCAGGGGCACCAGCCCCACATGGGCCTGCTGCACGGCCAGGTGCAATGGGGACTGGAGCTTCCGGTTGCGCACGTTCACATCACAGCGGCCCTGGGGAGTGGGGGGGCAAACTCAGCCCAGAGACCCCCTTGGGCCCCTGCCTTCCAGTGTGTGTGTGTGGGGGGGGGGACCCTGCACGCACTTCTTGGATGAGGATCTGAGCCACCTCACGGTGGTTGTTGAGGGCAGCCAGATGCAGCGCAGTAAAGCCATCCTCCTTCTTGGCGTCCACCAATTGCCGGGCCCGTGCCAGAATCCTCCTGACGGCTCTGTGAGAGCAGGGAGATCATCCCCAGCCTTGGGCTGTTCCCGGGGTGGCCAGGTGGCAGGGCAGAGCCTGGCAGCCACTGGTGCCCACCCCACACTCACAGCGCGTGGCCCTTGAGGGACGCATGGTGCAAGAGTGTGAAGCCCTGGCTGTCAGCAGCAGCAACGTTGATGCCCGGAACCTCGGTGAGGACCTCCACGATGCCATTGGCGCCGGCCCCCGCGGAGATGGCAGAGTGCAGAGGTGTATTGGCATGGGCATCCTGCCAGTGGGGGCCAGTGGTCACTGAGAGGTGACTGTCCCTGGAGTCAAGCTGCCTCCTTAATCCAGGGTTGGTTAGGGTCAAGGGCACCTGGGGACCAACACTCACAGGAAGGTTGACATCACAGCCACGCTCACATAGGATCCTCACCACCTCCAGGAAGCCCCTCTGCACAGCCAAGTGCAGCGCTGTGCTCCGGGCACCATTGAGGGCATCTGCCCCACACCCTGCACTCAGGAGCATCCGGGCAGCCTCAGGCTGGTTCCTGGTGGGAGAGGGAGTAGGAGGGAGCACTGTGCTGGCTGGACCCACAGGTGCAGCCCCTCTGGACCCCAGCAGCCTCCCCAGCCTCACCCCAGGGCTGCATAGTGCAGTGCAGTGTGGCCCTCATCATCCAGCAGGTCCACGCCTGCCCTTGCCTGCAGCAGCAGTCGCACGAGCTCCACCTGGCCCAGGTACGAAGCCACCTGCAGGGCAGTCCTGCCCTGGTTCTTGGTGTCCACCTGACAGGAGAGTGAGCARGTGAGTTCAGGACCTGCCACCTTCTGGCCTTCCTGATGGCCACTGGGAGGAGGTCAGGGAAGGGGCCTGCCTGTTCTGGGTGCCTCCGCAGCAGGTCAAGAGCCCGGGCCACATTGCCCAGCGCTGCCTCCACCACCAGCCTCCCTGGGTGCTCTGGATCACTCTTCTGAGCCCGCAGCTTGTCCAGGGCCACACTCAGTGAACCTGGGGGCAAAACTGGGTAAGTGATGGCCAAGGGCCACCCTGCCTCCCCCAGGCTGCCAGGGCTGGTGCACACTTTTGTTCTCCCGGGCACGCTCAGCCACATCCAGATTGGTGTCCTCCTCTGGTCGGTAAGCCACCAGGCAGGAAGGACTGAAGGTCCACCGCTGCCCACCGACTGCCACACGCAGGTTCCCATCTCCAAATACCTTTACCACTTTCCCGATGCGGCCCAGGGCCTGAGGGAGAAATGTAGGGTCACAGCAAGTCTTAGCATGCAAGGTCACAACACGGGCAAGGGGACTCACAGGGGCCATGTCATCTGTCCACTCGCCATGCCCAGCCTGCAGCCGCTTCACAGTGTCCAGGTCATCGATGACACGAACCACATCGCCCACCCAGAAGGAGTTGTGCTGGGTGACAGAGAAGCAGGTAAGGGACTCCCCCCAGCCACATGTGGCCGCCCATGGACGGGGAGGGTACCCCCAACAAGCTCCACAGGTCAGGCAGGCACGAACCTGACCACAGTTCCTGCCCCAAGCACAACSCAAGGGTCTGGTTGGACAAGGACCAAAGCAGCCCCAGAGGATCAGGGGCGACAGCTGGGGAAGCAGCTGGGCAGCCATCCGGATCAGACAAAAGCCGGCTCTGGGAAGGTGTGAAGGCACACGCGGCCTGTACATTGACCCTGTACGTTGACCCGACTCCCYGGACTGCCAGCAGCAGGGCGAGCGGCGTGGGGCGGGGCCCAGGGCGACGCCCCTCCCCCTCCTCTGCGAGGAGCACAGACGCTGGCACTGCTCTGCAGTGCCCCCTCAAAGGCTCTCCACCCGGTGTCTTAGGCTGACTCGTCCCCGCCCCAACACCTGCTCCCTCTGTCCTCCATCCCCCAAGTCCTGCTTTCCAGGCAGCTCACTGTGTCCACCCTGTCCATGCTGCTAGTGCCCACCAACCTGGGCCCAGCATCCACCTCCCACTCACAGGTAGCAACTTAGAAACCAAGCCCAGTACCCCACTTCCAGCCTACTATGGTGTCCACCTTCCTTCCATCCTCAGGACAGACAGACCCTGGCCTGCCGGCTGCAGCCTCAGGGTGCCTCGCTCTCCTCTGGGTTTCTTCATGCCTGGATCCCCTTTTCCTGGGCCCTACCTTCACCCACCAGGCTGCCCCTTCCTTCAGATCTGGGGACTCATGGGGGCACCAGGGCCATAATCCTGCCTGCCCACTCCCAGGGCTGCCTAAGTACACGGAAGGGTTACAGAAGTGAATGGGTGAGGCTCAGCCTAGCCCCTAGGCACCTTGGTGAGAGCCCCGGGGTGGAACGTCCAGCGGGTCTCGTGGTTGAACTGCACACGCACGTCCCCACGGTCGGTGATGCGGTGCACGGTGCCCGTCTGTCCGATAAACTGTGGCAGGTCGCAGAGACTATGGCTGGGGGTCCAGAGGGCTTGGGAGGGGAGGGCACACAGGGCTYAGTGGGGAGACAGCTCACCTCTGCCATCCTGGGGTTCCAGCCGCCATGGCCTTCCTCCATGTCCCTCAGGACGTCTATGTCCAACAGACACTTGACCTTGTCCCCACGCTGGAAGGGTTGGCCGTCCGCACTCACCCTGCGTTGCAGCTCTGCTGGCTTGCCTGGGGGGGGGGGTTGGCAGGCCAGGCCTCAGGCAGCACCCCCACCCAGGACATCACAGGCTAGCCCCTGCCCAACCAGGGCAGGAGGGCAGCCAGTGTTGGTGGGGCCAGTCCCATACCCAGCCTGGGGAGGTGCTCCTTGTAGTAGAAGCCGCCAGCTGCCTCGCCTATACACTTGAGGTCCACCTTGCCCTTGTGGCCCACGCGGTACACATTGGTCGTCCCATCTGCCCATGTCACACTGGCCACACTCCGGCCTGTCTCCACATCCCAGCCACGAATGTCCACCACACGACCTGGCTTGCCTTCCCCTCCTGGGGAGACAGTGTCCCCACCCAAAGGCTGAGCCTCAAGGCTGACCATAGCCARCTGCCTCACCTCCCATCTCTCCCTCCGGCCACCACTCACCATCCTGTGAGCCCCACTCCCAGTCGGGGCCTCGCACCACCTTTGCACCCTGGAAGATGCCCCTTAGTGGRATCCTAAGGAGACCCTGGCGGGGACTCAGGGTAACACTGCAAGAGAGTGAGTCCTGAGCCATGCAGGAGAGAGGTATTACGGTCAGGCCCCTGCCCTGCCCAGACTAGCTCCTCCACCCCCAGGCTCCTTCTCACACCAGGTGGGATCTACCAGATGGGTGTCCTGGCACCTAGTTCCTGCCCATGAATGTCCTTCCCAGAAGGGCAGTGCCTTCCACACTCAGGGGGAAGGCTCTGTGGGAGCTATCAGATGCCCTTGGCTGGGAGGGGACTCAGGCTGACCCTCAGGGCACAGCCTCCTGTGTAGTCTGGATAAGCCTGCCCTCCCAGTGGGTGGGGCCTGGCCTGGCCAGCAGCACACAGCCACTGGGCCCTGGAACACACATGGGGAGGCTCCAGGAGACAGCTGGCATCAGGGAACAGGGGTGGTGCCTCTGGGTGCCTGGTCCAGCACAGACCCTCTGACTACAGCACAGCACTCTGGACAGCCAGCAGCATGCTGTGCCACAGGACTGGGTCCAGAGTGGGCTGCCCTGCCAGAGGCCACAATGCCAGGCCTGGCACCTCCACGGGAATGCTCGCTGCTTCAATGCCACTGCTGCTGGCATGGCCACACACAGGCCRCACTCAGTGACGCAGACTGCAGCTGCACCAAGGGGTGCCAGCACAGAGAAGCCATCCACACACCTCCAAGTGGCTGAGGAGGGCCTGTGCTTCCCTGAGGCTGGCAGGGGGGACTCACGGGCGCGAGTGGGCCGTCTCGTAGCGCTCGAAGGCGTGGGTGAGGTCGTGCTTGTTGTGCATGTAGCACTGGGTGCAGAGGTCGTAGTCGAAGCAAATGCGGCACTTCCAGCGCATGCCCCGCAGCCCATGCTTCTTACAGCAGTCGCAGATGATGTTGGGGTGGCGGACGCCTGGGGGCAGGGTAGGGTCAGGGGCAGTGACCCACCAGGGCACACTGACCCTCCCACCACCCGTGCTGCCACGCACCAATCTGCGCATTGTCATAGAGCAGCAGGTCGTGGGCACCCTGGTAGCCGGCGCGGTAGTTGGTGCGAGTGCCCTGGTCCCACTGCACGACAACTGTGCGGTCTGGGGTGGAGGGGCTGCCATGGCGCCCGAGCTCCACCACGGTGCCCACGCCGCCCTCGCCGCCATCCTGCTGGCCCCACTTCCAGTCCACGCCACGCACCACTCGCATGCCCACCTGCACACCCGCCTGGGGGTCAGGGTCCATGGTGCAAGGGGCTGCTCAGGACCTGTAAGCAGAGAGCACCCTCAGGCCATGTCAGGAGGCCAGGCCCAGCCTACCCACAGACACCTGTCTAAAGGGCCACCTGGGAGAGAGGGCAGGCCAGGAGCAGAAAGCACCAACACAAAAGGGGGAGGCAGAGGGGCAGGAAGTAGGAACAAATGGCCTGGGTCCAGGGGAGGTGGGAGCACAGGTACACAGGTCAGCACCAGGGGAGGCCGGGAGACAAGGTGGACGGGGAACCTGGCCTGGAAGAGGGACAGCAATCAGACTGAGCAGGGTGCGGCACACCCTAGTAAACTGGTTTCAGTCGGTTGGTTTATTTAGGATTTTGGCTGGCTGCTGGTGGTTCCTGTGGTGCTGGGGATGGAACCCAGGGCCTTGCTCATGCTAGGCCGACTTCTGCCTGAGCCACACCCCAGCTAGTTGATTGATAAGGTAAAACAACTCAGCCTTTGGGAGAAAACAGACTGTTTCTTTGTGTAGCCTCCTTAGACAGGTACTGAGTGGAGGGCTGCTGTTCAACAGGACCCCATCTGGCAACTGCACAGGCAGCAGGGCCCGAGGTGAGCTGCGCAGAGTATGGCCCCCACAACTTGCATCCAGAACAGGGAAAGAACTCCCACAGCTCCATGAGAAAGTCAGACAAGCAGCAAGTTGGGCAGGACGCAGGCTCACCAGACGCCAGCCCACACAGCACCACCAGGACGTTCACAGGAAGGGCACAGCCCTTGGCCCCCGCGAGTTGGGGACAGCACAGTGAGGGCACATGGCCCTATTAGGACCTACTCTGGAGAAGTCTGGCCTGGTCTAAGGTGGCACCCTTACAGAAGCACCTGCCCTGGTCCTTCAGGGAGTACTGGGACCTACATCGAGGTTTTAGTCCCCAAGGGAGCACAAACTCACCTCACCATGAATGATAGCAATGCACAGTTCACAAACAGCTTGGAGGACAAGAGCCTAGCGTGAGAGAGGCCATTACAGGCACCACACTTATAGCAAGTTTGCAAAAGCAACAAGCCAAGTCACAGCCTTAGGAAGCCAACCACGAGGCTGGTCCCAGGAGTTCCTTCAGACCTACGGCCTGAGAATTCTGTACTGAGCTAATCTTGAAGGAAGTCTTGTTAATACAAATGCATCTAAAAGACAGGACGTGAACAGGGGGAGGGGGAGGGGACACAGGGACCACGAAGGAGTCACCTGTACTCTCTCATTTAAATGTCGGGCCCCTGGCTTGCTAAGGAGCTCCCCCGGAGTAGGGGACAGCACTCATGCTCAGCTTCCAACAGAGGCTGGGGGTTGCCCTGGCTGGCTGGTCGATCAGCCAATGTCCCTCCAGCTCCAGATGGGGCCTGAGGGCCTTGCCGAGCCACAGAACAGAGGCAGCCTAGGCCCGAGAGTGACCAGGGGAGAGATGAACACATCACCCCTCCAACCGGGCTCTGCTTCAGGTCCCTGTTCCTGCCCCAGCCRGACACTCAGTCTGCTGGGCCAGCCAGTCCTGGAAACAGTCTGCCTCCTGGGAAGCCACAGGTGGGCACAGGAGGCCCCCCACTCCAGCTCTGCTTAGAGATGGGTGTCTGCAGCTAGAGGCAGAGGCGGGAAGCCCGCAGGCCATCCCAGGCTTATGTCCAGCTTATGTCCAGCTCTTGGTCTGTACCTGCTTCAGATCCTCAGGGACACGAATCATCTGGTCAACTCAGCGTTGGGCAGTTCTCCCTGCTGCCCACCACCCAGGACCACCAGGGCTGGCATAGAAACAGGAGGATTAAAGCTCACTTTCTCCTGAACCAGGGCCAACTAGGAGCCGTCCTGAGCAGCAGAGTTCTGCTTTTTCAGAGAGCACCGCGCTGGTCTGGGACCTCCCCTCTCTGGGCTCTTGGGACCCTGCCAAGGTGTGGCACTGAGGCCCAAGGCCAGAAGGTACAGCACCAGTGGCCAGTGATGCCTCAGGCCCAGACAGCCCCAGGCTCTTGGGCACCTGCGAGTGGGGGGGGGGGGGTCTGGTGGGCAGCCACCTCTGCCTTTCTAGCCATCTCTGCCGCCTGTACAGCAGTGCCACCCACATCTCTGCTACCACAAGTACAGCCAGAGCAGCCCCTCACTGCCCTTAGGGCCACCAGAATGCCCCACACMATGCCATTCAACTCCCTTGCCCAGGCAACAAGCCCACAAAGGCAGGGCCTCCAAGGGCTGCCCCCGTGTCCACTCATGTCCCTGGCTGGCTAGCCCCTGCTGGCCTCCACAATCACTGAATGCATGACAGCRAGTAAAACTCCAGCACCCAGGAAGCTTGTGCTCCTGGGACAACTAGCAGACCCAATGTCCCAGGGGCCCAGCCGGCCAGGCCACTCTTGCCTCACCCACACACTGTGTGCTCACCACATCCCAGCACTGGAAGTCATCGGGCAGCACAGCTACACCTGGCCCTGGGGCCCAGTTCCACTAGCTGGCCCAGCTCCCTTGACCTTTTGCTGGAAACACTCCAGTCCCCATGAAAGCTATCTGGGAGGGACGTCACACCTTTCTCCAGCAGGACCAAGTGGCTCCCCACTGCCTGATCTGCAGAGTCACCAGCTAGGGGTAGACTGTGCTGGGCTTCTGCTCCCTGGGCCCTTGCAATGAGTTCAGCTTCTGTCCATGGAGATCCTGGGAAAGCATAGGCACAGCCAGGGCAGGCATCCCCACCCTTCCCCAGTCTCCTCTGCACAGGGCCCTCCTTGCAGGCATGGCAGAGGCAGGGGAAGTAGAGACGGTGACCCCCCACCAGCCCACTGACCTCCATGATACACACACACCCTCCCTCCTGCCAGGAACCCGTCACCCTAATCACAGCTGGGAGGCAAACTGAGGAGACAGTCCACACACCATACCCCTGTTACAGGCAACCACAGGCCCAATAGGAGGCTAGACCAGCAGGGGGCCTGTGACCAACCATCCCTGAACCTGGCCCAGCACAGAGAAGACTTGGAAAAGGAAGACCCAAGTACTGGGAGTTGGTGCTGTGGTCATTCTGCAGCCAAGCAGCTTGCCGGTCTCTGTGAACCCAGCTTCCCAGCCTGAGCCTGCCTGCCCAGGCCAGCTGCCATGTCTGCCTGCCAGCTATCGCCCCACTGGCCACTTGTTGCTGGGCCTTTTACAAGACATGGGGGGGGTTGCCCAACCTCTCCCTCAGGAGAATGGACAGAGGCAGGGAGATCAAAGTGGAGGGTGTCTGGCAATGTCTGGAGAAACTTGGGACCACACCTCAGCTGACARCTGCCTAGCAGGAAGGCCACCAGGCAGTCCAGCCTGTGACAGCATCTGCCTGGTAGTTTTAGAACAGCCAAACAACTCCCCTCAGCCCTAGCCCGCAAACTGCCACATTCTGGAAGACTATCACTCAGATGAGCCCACCAGAGACGGACCACAGCCAGGCCGGACCTGGGAAGGGCTTAGTTAAAATACCAGCACCCACCGACACCCAGGACTGCCTGGACMAGCAGGGAGGACCTGGAGGAGCGCGCACAGGGCTGGGTACGCTGGCTTGCCCCCGGGGGCCAAGGTGTGAGAACAGAGGAGCACCCGTCATGGTGGYCCCCGGGGCTCCTTCCCTGCAGCACCCCATGCCAGGTCTTCAGAGGCAGCACCCTCCGTGCTACATGGCATCACGGCCCTGGTTAGGGCCTCTGCCTGAGCTGGTCTTCTGATAAAGCCCCCTTGCCACCCTCTCATAGTTACCACAGGGACAGACAAGGGACAGGGCTTCTGGGACTCAGAAACACAGGGATTTGGCACCCTAGGACCCTCTCAGGGAGACCCTTCACCTTTCCCTCACCCCTGCCTGGCCTGGGTCACTGTTGATCCTGGGCCCAGCATGTCATTGCTGGTCATGTTCCCCCTGCCTTTGAGCTCCTGTGCCTTGTCTCAGGGCTCACTACTTATTATGGTTTTGGTATAAAGTGTCCCCCCAAAAACTCCTGTTAAAGTGGAACCACAGTGGTGCTCTTCCTCCCTCTCAGCCAGGCCATCGACCGAGGAGCTTTCTTTAACTGGGCCTGTCCCCATGATGTGCTCTCTCACCTCGAGCCCAGAGCAATGGAGTGGGCCATCTACGGACAGAACCTCTGAGACCGTGAGCCCCAAATGAACTTTTCCTCCTCTAACTTGTTCTTGTCAGGAATTTTGGTGACAGTGATCCAAAACGTAAACACTACTTCATCTCAAAAGGTCCCACCAGGTACACGGGGCAGTGAGTGGGGAAGAGACAGGTCAAGAATGGGGAAGCAGTAGTAACCCTGAAGGAAGGGAACCCCAGGGGTTCTGGGTTTTCCCTCCCCTCTACCTGGGAAGTCTCTACTCTTAGGGCAGCATGGGGATCCTGACCACCAGCGAGGAGCCTGTCCATCTCCACTGTTCACAGAGAGCTAGGGGATAGGAGGCCTCGCAGGTGGCCTGTCTACSTCAGAATGGAGCTTGTTGACAAAGGATTCATCCCTGGGCTTCCCTGCTATCACCGTCCTCCTTGGGCCATGAACAAGCACCACTCAGGGCTGGGTTGGGGAGAACCTGGCCCCCAGTGGCACTGGGCACAGCCTAAGAACAGCAGAGAGTGGATCTGCTGTCTAACTCAGCAAGTCTAGGAAGGGRCCTAGACGCCTGGACAGCACCATGCACCCAGGCAGACCACACTGCAGGCCTCAAGGGAGTCTCTTCCCAGGGCACCTGCAAGACAGGAATTCCTGATGTAGGGCAGGAAAGAGGGCCCTGTCCTGGTGACAGACAATCTTGGGAGGGCACTTCATCACCTCTGCAGCCTCCAGGAAATACCCTGCCACAGCCCCCTGACTGYAGCACATCAGCCCTTCCTGGAGAGCAGGGATCCTCTGCACTTCTCCCACCTTCCTGGAAGTACCTGGGAGCCCTGAGCACATAAGCTAGGTTCCCACTGCCACCCTCCGCTGGCTCTCTCTGGGCCCAGGCTGCCACCGAGATGAAAGATATCCTACACAGACCTGCCAAAGTGTCCCAGAAACAGCCCACAGCCCTGCACAAGCCTCGACCCAGTGCCTGTGGAGGGGCACCAGGGAGCACCACCCTGACAGCAGGGTCCAAGAACTGCAGCCATCACAGCCTTGGTGTGCGGGGGCCTTACTGCTGACCCACAGAAACAGCTGCCAACCACTCCTGCTTGTGAACACAAAGCCAACACTCATGCTGCAGGGTGCTAGACGCTGCGATGGGCAGTGCATGTAGCCATTTCAGTGGGAAAAGTGCCCACAGAGTTGTCAACTTCTTCCCAGCAWCCCTAGGTTTTGCCATCCATCCGGACCGAGAGCCATACTCTGGCTGACTCCCAACACCTGGAAGGCTGTGCTTCAGCTGTCCACCATGGGGCAGTCAGAAAAGGCAGCCTCAACTGGAAATTGTGCTTCAACAAAATCAGAACTCACCTCACAGCACACAGCAGCCTTGAGTCAGTATCCCAAGCACTTAGTTGCCACTTCCTGGGTCACAAATGTGCTCAGCCACCAAGATTTCCTGTGGGAAACTAGCAGCYGTTGCTGACACAGAACACAGCAAACCAAGCAGCAGGCAGCCAGCCAGTCTTACACACTCAGCATGTGGGCCTCAGGGCTGCTGCTGACCATCAGAGCTCCTTTCTACAAGCAACGGCTGTCCCTTACAGGACAAAAGTACTGGGACAACTCAGGAGGATGCCATCCACTGTCTGTGAGTATTTTATTGGAAAGTTTTATACAGCCATAGATATTAAGTCATGTGTAGTAAAGATGCAGGGTCCTTTATTCAGGAGAACATTACATGAAACTGAGAACATTCGGGACACGAGGCTGCCCTCCTACTGCCCCCTCCCTTTAACCCTGCTTGCCTCTAACACTACTCAACTGTGTGACACAATTGCTGGCAAACACTGGTACGTCACAGGCTCCTGGGTGCCAGCGGAGTCCAGCCCCTAGGAAATGGGGTGAAGCCCTGAGACAGAGGCAAGGAAACCTGACCCACCATACATCAAGGCACCTGCTGGGCTGGGTGCCATGGAGCACACCTGCAATCCCAGCAGCTCAGGAGACTGAGGTAGGAAGATGACAAGTTGGAGGCCAGCCTCAGGAACTTAGTGAAACCCTGTCTCAAAATAAAAAAAAAATAATAAAAGGGCTGGGAATGTGATTCAGTGATTAAGTTCCCTTGGGTTCAATCACCAGTACCATTTAAAAAAAAAATAGACCTTCTGGGGGAAAAGACATTCAGTGTGGCATGTCACCACTACTACTCTTGGTGACCTTGATGGAGACCCTCAGGCATACTGCAGCCTGAGGGGTCATCCCACTGACTTCCAGGCTGACCTTGGCAGGAGAGAGACCGATACTTGTTGCATCTGGAGCAACAGGTCAGAGTGGAATGGGGAGCCAGGAACCTTCCCAGAAGGGCCAGGCCTCCTGCACTTGGGCTGGTCTGTCCTTAAGTCTGCTGGCCCCATCAGGAGCCCACCTGGTACTTCTGCTTTTCTCCATCAGTTCTGAACCCAAAGGAAAAGCAAAATGATTTCTCCCTCACCCACACACAAGCACACTCAAGACACAGACACAGCCCCTCTGACAGGACATCAGGCCTCATTTAGGGCAAAGGCACCGAACCCCAACTATCAGGCCACAGCCAGTCAAGAGCTCACCTGTCTGGCCGCCCACTGTCCCCCGCCGCCCGCCTTGAGACTCGGGCTGTAACCCTGATGCCTGGAGACCTGGGACTGGCCTCTGCTGAGCTCCAGCGCCAGCACCAAACGATCCAACCCTGCGGCCAGACGAGCGAGACCTGCAGTTACTGCCTGCCAGCCGGCCGCGCACCCGGTGCTGCCGCCCACCCGCCCACCCGGAAGGGTCACTGGGGACCGGCGGCCGGGACCCGCTGCGGCAGCCGGGCGCCCAGGGTCGTCCAGAGCCTGCGGACGTCGGCGCCCCGCGCTGCGTGCCGGCCCAGACTGCGGACGCGCACTCGCACGAGCGGCCGCCCAGGGGTAGGGACGCGAGGCCCGCCGCCCCCGCTGTCCACACCGGCCGGGCCACCCGCCCGGCCACCGGGCCGCTCCCTGCCACCATCCCGGCTCCGTGAGGCCGCCCGGGCACCCGCCCCGGGCCCCCACTTGCCCGGAGTTTCCGCGCGCCCGCTCGGCCCSGGGGAGCGGGGGAGCGGGGCAGCGGCGAGGCTGACGGCCAGCGTTGGCCGGCTGTCCCAGCGCGCGCGGCGGCGCCCGCCCCTCGGCTGCTGCGCAGCGCCAGGCCAGGCCGCCCCGCTGCCGCGCAGCCCACCGGCCGCCAGCCGCGACCCCGGTTCGGGTCCCGGGCAGCCGCAAGGCCCGCCGGGAGCTGTAGTTCGCGGCTCCGGACTGCGGGCGGGGCGGCTCCCGGGAGGCCCCACGCGTGACGCACGCGGCGCCCGGCCAGGGGGCGGGGCGGGCGGCTCCCAGGAGGCCCCGCGCGTGGCGGAGCGACGCCCCTCCACGGGGCGGGGAGGGCGGCTCCCAAGAAGCTCCGCGCTCGACGCACGCGGCGTCAGGCCCGGGGGGCGGGGCGGGCGGCTCCCCAAAGCCCGGCGCGAGATGACGCTGCGGGCGCGGCCCGGGCGGCGGGCGGGCGGCGCCCTGGCACCGCAGCGGCCCGCGTTCACTGGGAGACCCWGAGGAGAACTGGAAAGCTGCGCTCAGGAGCCTCCGGGCACATTCCGGGGGGACGACGGGAGCCGGGGGAGCCGCTCTGCGCCCGCGGGCGCCATCCCCGGAGACCACCCCGTGACCACCCCGGCAGCCGCACCACCCCTCCACCGGCGCCCAGCGGTGGCTCAGGCCCSGGGGCACGTTCCGTTGCCCCTGAGCCGGACTGCAGGGATGCCCCGGGGGCCTCTTCTTTGGGGGCTACCAGGGATTGA